TCCTCCTCCTCCTCCTTCTCCTACCTACACGTAGAGAATCTACGTATCATGACACACGGTCAATTTGCATAGATATAATTTACATAGGTATGCGTTTGATAACGTGATCCATAGATTATCGTAACTAAAGTCAAAGAGAAATTTTTTAAAAGATCATGAAGAAATTTTAACTGCAGCAACGTTTCATTCAATTCTTTTTTTGTTTCCACCTTTAAAAAAGAATAAAAAAAAAAAAAGAAAAAAAATTATAAAATATCATTCCGTTTTTGTTATTTCTTCTAATGATTAATTACAGTAATACTTAATTTAACGATAAAAAACCTACAACATCAATGAATATTGTTTAAAACAAAAAAACAAAAACAATTAAAAAAAGTTATTTCTCGGCGATTTCTATCCTGGTATCGAAGAGAATCGGCTCTTTTGATTTGAATTCAAACATTTGGAAACGTTTGAAATTCGCCAAAAAGATAGCAATTCGATAGGGTCGTATTCTAGAGAGAGAATGCTTTGTTGAAGGGCCGAAATCGAAAATGAATTCAATCCTCGAATGCACGGTTTACGGTTCAGACGAACGATAAATCTTGAAAGGATGGATAGCCACCATTTTCTACCCACGATCTCACTCTTTATATATACATATATGTGCGTATTTGTGTTTGTGTGTATGTGTGTCGAATGTACCGATTTTCTTCGATCGTAAAAAAAGATCGATAGCTTTTTATTTCTCGGATCTTCTGTAAAAAATAATTTATTGTTAGTGGTCACATACGATAGTATCGATTTATTCTAGCATGAATCGTATATATATATATAACAAATCCCATGATAGTTCGAGTTAACACACGCAAATTCTGACTTCTCGCATAGAACGTGCCAGTTAATCCTAACGACTGGATCGAATCGATAACATGAGCTCGTTAGTAACTAAGCTCCCACATTTCGATTATAGGCTATCTAATGTACCTTGTTAACGTTGTTACCCTAGTCATTCTACATTCCGATCGCGAAATCGCATGCACCGATACCTAACTGCGAAGACACAGTTTGCACCCCCATCGCCATCCCTACCCTCCTCTTACTACTTCCCTGTACAGACGAATATTCGTTCTTATTTAACAACAACAGCAACAATGACAATGTTCAATCTCTAATATTCAAAAGTATTGTAAAACTTATGTTTGATTATACATCGTGAGAGGTTCGTGTATGAAATATTTGACTCGCCGATCAGGTGCGTATGTGCGTTTGTGAGTACGTACACTTCGGATGCTACAATCCGCATTTAAAAAATTGATGCCGATTGCGTACGTCCAATCATTATCTTCTTCTTATTTTCTTCAATTTTATTTAATTTTGTTTCCCTTCATTTTGTTTTGTTTTAAATCTCTGACAAAAGTCCCTAAATTTCTCCAATATAAACTTTACTATACCGACTAACCAACACTATCAATCACCTCTACGAAATTTTCGATTTAATTAATAATGTATACATATATATTGGATTAGAAAAGTTCAAATGCGATCCTTTGATCCTAACCAGTAAAGCAACTATCCCACATGATATGCAATTTTACGCTGTGACACGTGATTCGACCACGCCCTCGGTACAAACACACACACACAAATACAACAATGACTTTATCGATCCTACCCTTTGCTCGATCACCGTGAATAACCTTACGAATGAAAAAGAACACGGAACAAACATCGAATTTATTATTATCAATATCGACCAATAAAATTGGTGAAAGAAGTAAACAAAAAGAAAAAGATATATTATGTATAATTCGAAGAAGACAAAAAAAGAAGAAACGTTTGAAAAAAAAATAAACAAATCAAAAAGAAAAAACAACTTACCGGAGTGAATTCCTCTGTGAGAAGGTGCCGCTGGTACGGGGGGGAGACCGGTAATGCTATAAAGCGTTTGACCGCTTCCATATTTGTGAGCGGGGCAATGGCAGGGAGTAGTGGGAGTAGGCAAAGAACCAATGGCGATTCCCCCGGTGGCGGTAGCGGCAACAACAGGAACGGCTGCACTACTACCGACGACAGAAATTTCGTCGAGTTCGTGACCGCTGTCGTAATGACACAATCTCGTAGCACTGGTGCTGGATCCTGCCGAACCGACGACGTTAACGTCACCGATGAATCCATCCGAACGTGTACTTCCTCCCCCACCGCCAACTGTTCTACCACCGCCACCTGTTCGGCCCCTAAGCGACTGCACCAGTCGCTTGGCGCCCGAAGACATTCCACGCAGGTGATCCAGTTTTCCTCCTCTTCTCTTTCCTTAATACCACCACCACCAACTACTACTATTAAATGGTATCCGAAATAATCGAGCACCCCTAATAAAATAATCCTATTCTTTTTTTTCTTATCCAGAATGGCTGCCGGGCCGATGACACTTTTCCAACCACCCAACCAATCAACCAACCCCCGACCAACCCACCGATGTCACCGACCGTATCCTCTTCTTGTTACGTTTCTTCCTGTCATCCTCTCCTCTCTCACTCACTTTTTACCCTCACTCATACACTCACAAACCTTTGTCCCCGTAAACTTCTCTTCTTCTTCTTATTCGATTATATTCTTTTCATTCAACTATTACAACTTCTTCCGTCGTGGATATCGATCAATCTAACTTTTCGATTATCCTAGGTATCTATCTCTTCTCTTTATTTATTTATTCGAAGATCGAAGATCCCCAATATATGATCGTAAATGAAGGAGGAATAATAACTAAGACGATTTTCACGGAACAAACTCGACGACGGAAGGACGGATTTGAGTGATCGATCAGCATTTCTTTTTCCTTCTTTTTTTTTTTTCTTTACCTATCAACCCTTACGGGGTGACTGATATATTTTTTTTTTTTATTCCCAAAGCCCTTGACAAGCCATTCTAATTTTTTCTTCTTCCTCCTTCTGCTTCTTCTTCTTCTTGTTTTTCTTGTTCTTCTTGACTTTCTTGTTTTTCTTGTTCTTTTTGTTCTTCTTCTTCTTAGAAATCGAGCAACGTGCAACAAGTGTCTCGCGCGCTTACCACTGTGTACCTTCGACGAAACGCAAACGATTTTCCTTCTCGTACTACGACGAGGACCTACGTTGACGACGACGACGACGACGACGACGACGATGACGACGACGACGACGACGACGACGACGATGACGACAACGAAGACGAGGTGGAGATCCTCTTCTTCTTGTCTAGAATAAAAAAAAAAAAGAAAAAAAAGAAAAAGAGAGAAAAAAACGGATTAACGTCGTAACTCTTAAACTCGATAAACTCAACTTAATCCCGGAAATCCGAAAAATCCGATTTATTATTTATCAAACGAACGTCAACACTGACGTTAGCAATTGGGAGCGAGGGGAAGGGTTAAGGGGTTGAAAGAACTTTTACGTACGTCAAAATTTCAGAGAAAGAATAGTGAAAAAAATATGTGTGTATTACGTTGTGACAAAAATACCAATTTTTTTCCAATTATGTTACAAGCGTTATGTGTATGAAATTGCGCGTATTACTGGAGACTAACAGAAAATGTCAGGGAATGTGAAAAACAAAGAAGTCAAGCGTGTAAATCAACGAGTAGTATCGTTGAGCATTTTTTTTCTTCTCTCTCTCTCTCTCTCTCTTTTTCATGGCACGGTTCGAACTTCGATTGTTACTCCATCTCTCTCTTTCTCTTTCTCTTTTTCCCTTTCGATCTCTCCATTCCACCCTTTCTTGACACTACAAACGCGTCACTCAGCGAGACTACTATGTGCATGCCCGATCATTTACAATCGTCCTGGACACTCTCTTTTCATTCAACTTCGATACCTACTGACTTACTTCTTCCTTTTTTTTTCTTTTTCTTCTTCTTTTATTCTTTTATCATTAATCAACGTCCAAATGATCTTGTAAAAATAAAAAAATATAATATATTATTCTATCCGAAAGAAATTAAATAAAATTTGTGTGTGTATGTTGCTAATGTAAGAGCAATTTAATTCAATCCATATTCTTTTTAACCGCTTTATTTGACTGATGTAAAAAATTAAAAAAAAAAAATAAATATTCAAATTGTGCAGTTCATTTTTGTAACAAAATGGAATAGGGAAATAATTGATAATAAATAGAACACCAATATTCTATCTAGAAAGAGTTTTTTCTATTTTCTTTAATTTTTTCTACTTTTACAAATTTATGTAATTTTTGTAAATTAACTTTTCGTTTAACTATTAAACAAATTATTTCTTCTTTACGTCACATTTTATGTACACATACATACATACATATCGTGTCTATTTATTTTTTATTTTTTATTTATTTTTAAATAACAACTAGCAAGTACTAAAGTTATTTCACTTTGTGAATAAAAATGATAAAAAGTACCACCTACTGGCCTAACATACTAGCAACTATAATATAATTTTACTTTATTCCCTTTTTTAAACTATATACGAAATCAAGACGAGAAAGATGCGTCAAAGAGACACATAGTACGCGCAATATTTATGACCAGCCATTCTCGTAAGTGCTTTTTGCACGTATCTCAAAAGGGAAAGAAGAAGAAGAAGAAGAAAAAACAAAAACAAAAAAAGGTAACCCCATATCGTGAGATATCGCAATCACGAATACGTTGAATCACGTCGTCGAGAGATGACGAAGGGTAAGAAAGAGAGACATAAAGATGAAAAGGAGGGGTAGTGGGGGAGAAGATTACAGAGAAAAGAAAAAGAGGATAACTATTTTTCACAGAAAACATATTTCTTAAATCATAATAGAAAAAAAAAATGGAAGAAGAAGGAAAAAGAAGAAGCAGATGGAAATATGCTAGATGCTTGGTTGGACGCAACGAGACGACCACCCGTAACCCCCCCCTCCTCCCCCAACCTAGGCTTTTATTATTACGATACCACATTTTTACTCAACTCTCATTTCACGACGCACACTTTTCGCCCTTTTAAATTTCTTTTCCCCGCCATTATGTAATATTATATTGCGAGAAGGAAAAATGGGAGAGGAAAGAGTAAGGTGAGTAAGGAATGAGGGTTGAGGAGTGAAAGTGTGGGGGGGGAGGGGATAAATGGTCGGTGAACTTTTTTCTCTAACTTTTCGAGAAGAAATCTCAAAACGGATTTGCCACCCTTACCTTAAACCCCTCACCACCACCACAAACTCCCACCACCGATTCTTACGAATGAAATATCAAAACAAATGATCCTTTCAAAATCGAACGATTATGATTATCAGTATGGCTATCAAAGTTTAAATTTACATTCATAAAAAATATATATAATTCAAAAAACGAGAGAGAATTTCTCAAAAGTGTTAATAATTTGATGAGAAAATTACTTCGAAATAATACACGCGCGAAGTAATAAAATAAATCGATCAATTTATAATAATCGAAAGTCACGATTGTCGCGAAAACAGATAGTAACACCTAAACGCGAAACCTATTTACACACCCGTTTCTCGCGATAAATTTATTAGAACACCTATCGACACGCACTAATAGATCGTTTAAGTGTGTGGAGCCTGAAGAGGTGAGGTGGAGGGTGGAAATGGGTGTGGGGGGTGACTGGGGAATGGAGGTACGTGTACACGAGTTTACACGCACTAAAGAGATTATCGACGTTCGGCATCTCATCGTTCTACGTGTCGTCGTAGAGTAGACCACCCTCATATACAACCCCTTGCACGTAACCCCCTGCATCTCCTTACCCCGAACCCCAAAGCCCTAAACAAACGAGGGTTTCTGCTTTCCACGATTTCGAGAACGTCTTTTCTCTCTCTTTTTCTAATGACAATAATTAAATCAAATTCATTCATTTCGTTAACGAGAAATCGAGTCTTATTTACGGAATCAAAAATTACACGCAATCACAAATTCTTGGATCTTACCTCATAGTTTGATAACGAAACTTATATTCGGATTATCGCGTTATATTTTATTCGCGTAGCGCATTTATTACACCTTTAGCCCCTTCCTCCTACACCCTTCACCAATCCGTTATTACACGACCCGTGCGACAGCTGTGTGTATATGTGTGTGTTTTTTTTTATTCTCGCTGGAACGATAAACCTTCTTTTTTTTTTTGTTATTTTTTGTTTTTATTTTTATACATGTATATATACATATATATTTTTGGTTCGGCGTCACGTTTTATATTCGCTTGTCTTTTAAAAAATAAAAAAATAAAAATAAACTCGCGAACTAGTGCCAAAGGTAGTTTGATCTCGCGCATAAAAAATCGTTCGCGTTGTAAATTTTTATTAGAATCAAACGCGCGTATATCTAAAACTTTTTTTTTATTTTTATCCATCGAAGCGTGCATGCAAAAAAAAGAACTTTTTTCCATATTCTTGACGAACAAAATATATGATGATTATTTAAACTTAGAGAGGTAATAGATGATTTGTATATCGAAATGAATTCAAGATAAATTGAAACTACTGTGGGTTTGGGTGCAGGAGGAGGGTGAGTAACGATTGTTGACCACTTCAGTACTTGGCCTTAAAGCCCCTTTGAGCTCCCCGAGATCAGAGAATATGCGGGTAGAGAGGGCTTGTAAGTGACTGTTACTACTTCAATCTAATTTTAACGGATTAAAGTGCAAGCAAAGCTTCCCAAATTCTGATTTCGCAATACGATCACATTTCAAATCTAATGAATCGTACCAAAGCTCTACTATTGTTCCCTTACAATACCCCCTAAGAGTAGCAATGTAGTAACACATATATATACTAGCTCGCGCAACCAATAATATAAACTTGAATAGAAAATATTTGAAAGGAGGATGAAAAGGTATAAGAAATCAAATATTAAAAAAAAAAAAAAATAAAACAAGGATGTAGTAGTGAGAAAGGGGAAGGGTGAATATAAATTCGAACCTTTTCCATATACGCAATCGTATTAATATATCCTATATATATCATTCCAAATTTTTATTTCTAACCCCTAAAAAGTAGGTGGTGTGTTCTAGGAACAGCAGTCAGCCAGCCAGTCAGCCAGGTACTTGGGTTCTAAATCGTCGAGAGAGAGAGAGAGAGAGAGAGAGAGAGAGAAAGAGAGAAAAGAGGGGAATTTGAAGAAGAAGAAGAAGGAGGAGGAGGAGGAAGAGGAGGGTAAAGGTCGTTGAGGATAATCCAAAAATAGAAGGGAAAAGGTTAAAGCGGAGGCGCCAGAAGGAGCAAGTCTACGACGAAGTTGTATTATTTAGGGCATTTAGTAGCGCTCGCGGACCTTTCCAGGATTGTCCGGAACTCGTCGGGAGTCGCCATAGCAACGAGGACGTTGTCCTTCTCTCTCTCTCTCTCTTTCGCTCTCTCACTCATTCTATTACACACATAAACACACGAGAAAGTGAGCAAGCATGCGCACGCACCCACACACACGTTCATGTTATCTCATTTCTCTCCTTGCTCGTTCGTTCATTCACTTCTCTCACTCGCTAGTTTCTATTCGTAAAATCGACACTTTAGTCGGTGTCTCATTCGAAACGAGATACCTCGAGAATGATTACGATGATAAATACGCATAAATTCAAAATTTCAAAAAATATTATATATCAAATTGTATTTTTTTTCTACTATTTGTAATTCCAATTGCATAATGAATTGTTCTTTTTTGTAACATTTACTTTGAAAATATTCATTTTAAAAACGCTCTCGAACTTTTGCTTCTTACCCTAATATTTAATATTATTTTAATACTAAATTCATTATCACGTCAGGTAATCAGGTAATTCGTAAAAAGAACAGGTAAGGAAGACATATAAAATTTGTATTATTTGTTTCTAATAAAAAAGAGGAATAGTGTTCGCATCCCAATTGACTAAAATCTTGTTCTACAGAATATAGAATTTTATTTTTTTTAAATAGTTTACTAGCGTTAAGAATAATATAGGTAAGTGTCAAGGTAAGTTTAATATTCGAGAA